ATTAAAGATTAAAGACCTTTTAGCTGCAAGGTAGATTATAAATTACTAAGTCAGTTCAACTCAAAAATGAGCCTATGTTTTCGCCCAAAATATATATATAAACAAATGAAAATCTTAGGAAGTCTATTCTAAAGCCATTAAAATTTATGTATTACCTGCTTTCTTAATTAATTAAACATGCTTAATCGTAATTGGAAACGAGTTAAATATATGAAATTTTTCTATAAAATCCATATATATATTACTCAAAACACAATTTATTATTATTAATAAAATTAAAAAATGTACAGGTAGAGTTGCCAGTGGCGCACTCAAAATATAATCTTAGGGAAACCTAGTTGAACGGATAAAAAAAAATTTTAATGCGAATTCAACAAAAACCTACCTTATGTGACCACTAATTTATAAGTAATAGAAAACACAACATAATATAAATAAAAAAATGAATTCTAATTAAGAAAGAAGTCTTGGAGAATTTACTAGTGTTGTTTTTCTTTTACTTTAGAGTGCCAATGGGCCCTTGACTACCTCTGCGTGCTACTGCTATACGTCTCAATTTTTCGGGATTTGTCCTTTGCGTTTGTTTGTTTATGGCAATACAAACACTTGGGCGATCCGCCTAAGGGGATGCATTCCGGGGAGGTCTTTTTAAGGAAAACTGGCCCTATATTTAGGCGTTACAGACGTGGAGAAGGCCCGGAAAACTTCACGTGGCCAGCACATCCGAACCCACGACTGAACTCCCAGTGTTCAGGGAACGAATACTGCTTGGCCACTGGTAGGCCTCGTCATTTGTCCAATTTGGAACATTTCATCTTGATCAGAAAATTTTTCCTGGAATACTCCGATTTGTCTCGAAAATATGTTGATGTTAAAAAAAACAATCAAATAATAATGTAGGCGGTAGGTGTCTGTAGATATGCCTAAATCACTCGTTATAACCACGGGCGGATCTAGGTTTTTCGGTGCCTAGGGCTTATTGAAGTCCAATGGATCCCCATTTTTGTTAGATTAAGAATTGCCATTGCCTTATAAGGCAGGCTGACAATTATTATTAGTTTCCTTATAGCATTCGAATTCGAGACAGTGGATTTAAAATTTCAACTTGGTGATCTGACCAATTACGTTACATTGATTATAATAAAACAAATAATACTATAAATTATCACTATTATTATATTATTCATATTAACTATCTTTTACTATACGATAAGTGCTCATTGTTAATGAAAAAGTATTAAAAATTTATAATAATCATTTAACTTTTGTGGGACCTTGCCACTTGGGAGCCCAGGACTTAAGCCCCATTAGTCCCTATGTAGATACGCCCTGGTTCTAACAAATTCAGTAATCTGTAGTGAATCGTGTTCTGTTGGCACTGTGTAGTTTTTTTCTTTTTGTCTTTCTACCCTGTGGGCACTAAGAGGGCTTCTTTTAGCAAGCCCATCATCGGTTCGGCAAGCCCCACAATGGGGTGGCCGGGTGGTAAGGGACAGGACCCGACATATCCTGACGACACTCCCGAAAAATCCCCTGGAATGTTTCGGGTGCCGTTCGAATATGTCGGGCCTTGATTTGATCCCAAGTCCTCAAAGCGGTAGGCTGCCATCTTAACCGATTGGCCATCCTGCTCTGGCACTGTGTAGTGCTGTGCGATGGCTTCAAAATGATCATTGGTTTCATGCAATCATCAACGGTAGATCAATGATTACATCTGGCCATAGTCTCGCTTTTATTTATTTATTTTTATTCTTTCTTCTCTATGAACAGTAAGAGAATCTTTATTTTTAATCATGCCCATCATGAATATGGCCATATTCACAATGGAAACGTCAGAGTTTTCTTACAAAAAGTTAGGTGAAATATGTAAGTCAAATAAGTATAATTGGTTCCACAAATAATAAAAAATGTTCAATAATTGATAATTCAAAAAAATCAATTTAATTATTTCCCGGAGTAACTATAACTTATCTAATGCAGGGTATCCATCAAATTTTACCACAATACCGTCGCATTTAAAATATTCCAATTTCTGGTTTTGAGCTTATATACCATACATACATTACATATTTTTATAATTATTCTCGCTCTAAGGACACTAAGCGTGCTTTTATTTTTGTCCACTATAAATTTAGCCAGACCCTTAGGATGGTCCATTATATTGGGTTGGGGGAAAAGAAATCCATTATTTTTACGTTTATTTCAAGACTTTATTCAACATGGTTTGGATTGTCCGACTTGGGTCAAATATGCACCGTTTTGTTTTATAATTTGTTACCATTTTAAAGGTAATTTCATAATGCCTCTCTCATAGAAGCCCTGGTGCCTATTGGTGAAAAACTCGACTAAGCGATTTTCACAATCTTCTCTTGATGCCAATTTCTTATAACGAAGGAAGCTTTGCAATGATAAAAAAGATGGTAATTGCTTGGTGCCAGGTCTGGACTATAAGGTGGATGCATCAAAACTTTTCATCCAAGCTCCCTGAGTTTCTAGCGAGTCACTACAGATGTGTTTGGCCTGGCGTTGTCCTGATGAAACACAAAACCTCTCCTGTTGAGCAATTTTGGCCGCTTCTGGTCAATCGCTAGCTTCAAACGGTCCAATTGTTGACAGTAGAGGTACAAATTTAGTGTTTGGCCATATTGAAGCAGCTCATAGTAGATGATTCCTTTCCAGTCCCACCAAATGCACAGCAAAACCTTCCTGGCCGTTAGTCCTGGTTTGGCCAGTTTGAGCCACTTCACTGCACTTTGACCACAATTGTTTTTGCACAAGATTGTTGTATGTAATTTATTTCTCATCCCCAGTCACCATCCGTTAAAGAAATGGGTCGATTTCATTCCGTTTGGCCAAGACTTTGCAGATGGAAATTTGATCCATCATGTTTTTTTGCGTCAATTCGTGTGGCATGCAAACACGAGCTTCTTTTTGAATCCAGCTTTATGCAGATGGTTTAAAACTGTTTTGTGGTCAATCTTTAGCTCCTGGGCGATGCTATGACTGCTAACATGCCGATCTACTTCAATCATTTCCATGATTTTATCAACATTTTCGACAATGGGCCTACCTGTATGAGGCGCATCTTTAACATCAAAATTACCAGAATGGAATCGACGAAACCAAAATTGTGCATAATTGGCTGTGACAGTATTGGAACCATAAACACCATTCACAATTTCAGCCGCTTGGCTTGCAATTTCGCCTTTATCAAAGCAAAATTGTAAAACCTACCGAATTTTCTCTTTGTTAACTTCCATCTTTTACACCCTATAACTCACAACTGAATCGACCAATCAAAAAACTGTAAAAGAATTTTTTTTAGTACAGAATGTAACTTTTCCAAGGAGCACAAGTCTGAACTTGTTTCATCAAGACTTTATGAGATATATATTACTACAGCCATCTAGCAACAAAATAATGGATTTCTTTTTCTCCAGCCTAATATCTATACAGAATAGTAATAAAAATTTCTAAAGATTCATCCCGTAATCGAACCTAACTTCATCCGAGCAGCATCGACGTACCTTAGCCGCTTTGTTATACGTTATTCCAATTCGAAGAGTACAGTATACATATAGTATCAAGTACATTGTTACTTCAAGAGCAATAAGCGCAAAAATATTAATTCTTTTAAAATTATGGAAGTATCGTTTATATCTTAAATTCTAGGTCAAACTCTCTGTAAGCACTGTTTGCTTCGTATAAGAAAGAAATGAGGAATAGTATTTTCCACTACTTTTGATTCATTTTTTCAAATTATTCCTTTTATTAAAATTAAAAGTCTATCGCTTTACAATCCGTGAAATTTAAACACAAAATCTCAAAATTAAATATTATTTTCGCAATTGTAGAAATAATAAATCGTTAATATTCGACATCCCAAAAATTCATTAATTTACAGATATTATTTATAAATATCGACAAATGTAGAAATAATAAATCGTTTTCTTACGTTTTTAACAGATTCTGAAATGATTTCTGCTCCAACGAAACTTTTATCTTCCTCATTTTTCGCTTTTTGGATATGAATATCCTTTGTGAAATTCTCAGTTCTATTCTTTGTTGGATCTTTGTTTTCTTCCTCACTTTCTTCTGCAAAAAAGACAATCTTACTGTTTAAAACTTCTCTCTTAAAATTTCTATTGAAGCTATAAACTGCTGCATCAAACACGAGAAAGTATAATTAAGATTGGGCCTGACAATGTATTAAAACTTGTCAAAACTACTTAAATACATAAATCTGCTTTATAGCTAGCAACATATTATTATTTTTAGAGTAAACTATTCCAAAAATTTGAGAATTCTTCGAATATTAAAATAATGTTTGGTTATACAAATGAAGAAAAGCATCAAAGAGATAAATATAACGTATCTTACCGTTACATTTTATCACTGGAATTGTTTCTTCGCCATTGCCAGGTGTTATCATTTCATCTGTGTCTGATGAATCGCATGTTCCATTATTAACATCAATTGTTGATTCAAATACATCACCAATGCAGTTTTCATTGCCGATATCATTTAGTGACGATACGTCAATCTCAGTATTGACCTCATCAGATTTTTTATTGGAACGAAAACCATTATCATCTTTATTTAATGTACTACTTGTTTCTAACTCATCGCATTCGGATAGTTCGGATAATTCTCCTTCGATATAATAAAATTCCTCTTCCTCGTATATTACTTCTCTAACTAATGAAGTTTCTTCTAAATATCTGAAGGCATATTTTAGTGGTCTTACGTAGAATTCGTCCTTTATCCACGCAGGAGGCATATTCAGGAGATCGGATTTCGTTGGAAACTAAAATTTAATTTTGAAATATTTATTAAGATTTAGTAAATTCCCACATTCAATTAAAACTGTATTCGATAGTTTTTAGTAAATTTATTTAATAGCCTTTAAGAATATTTTCTAGTACATTTGGCCAATTTAGATCNAGAAATCGAAAGAAATGAAATAATTTTCGTAATTATTAAATTATAAAATACGAAATTATCGTCTGCCGGAGTAAACTGTCTTGACGATTTTGTCCACTTGAGTTTGAATTTTGTGTATGGGATTGACGAGGAAGTACAATACACGAAGGTCGAACAAGGAATAATATTCCGCTAAAAAATAACTAAATTTAGACTTGCTGCATTACAAAGTGGATTAATTGCCATCATTTTAAAGGTTAGATTCAAGGACAATTATCCCTTAAACAATAGAAAAAAAAATCTTTAATCCATTATAATTTTATGAATCATATCGATGCATAAGTGATATTAATCTATCTGGTATCGTTTTTAAGATTCTTTTATAAATTTATGTACTTATTTACGTTTGTTACTATTTAGAAATTTATATAACGAAGATAAGATTAATAACTTTGGTACATTTGTTAATTTACATTAAGGTTAAACTGTCATACTTTAGTTTAGGAATTTGTCATTACAGCTTTTAAAAATGCACAAATCTGATATATTAATTTACTCTTATTGTCATTAATATATAATTATGTGAATTATTTAATTCTTTCATTAGGTTTATAACTGATTCGATTAATTGATTTAGTAATAACTGTTTATGGAACAGGTCGTGTTTGATTGACGGTAATGCAATGAGTAATGATTGTTTACTGAATATTTTGAGAATTAATATCAAAGTATTTGGTTATCTGGTTCTATATAAGGGAATTTTATTTATAAGTTTAAAGAAAAATTTGGAATATACTGTATATATACAGTGGTACCTCGGTATATGTCTGCTTTAGAATACGTCCAATTCGGAATACGTCCTGTATGGACGAAACAAATTTTGCTCGGTATACGACTTTTGTTCGGTATCCGATTTAATTCAGTTACATGTGCCATCTATGAACAAGTAGCACTGTCGGTGTACTAGACCAGACTAGACGTTTGCGGTGCCACAGTTTATAACTTTGTTAAATTTTTTCTGATTTTAAATTTTAAGTAAAATTTTATTATTTTTATTAATCATGAATTGCGAAAAGGCAAGTGAAAAGCAACAGAAAACTAAAAAAATGACTAGAATCACAATGGAACTGAAAAAAGAGATTGTTGAGGAATATGAAGGTGGCATGCATGTTTTAGATTTAACTGTTGCGTACCATATTCCGAGAACGACGATATCGACAATCGTGAAAAATAAAGACATTATTAAATCTGCTAACATTGCGAAAGGGGTTAAATCAATTTCTAAACAGAGATCGAAGACATTAGATCATGTCGAGAAATTGCTTTTGCTTTGGATAACTGAAAAACAGTGTGCCTGCGACAGC